ATATCACCTACTTATTCCAACATCATGAATCAACCCATTACTTCTCTTTTTTCTTCGTAATCTACTGAAGGTGCAAAGACAATTCTAGAAGAAGATCATGCTGATGATGATGATGATGATGTGATGGTCTCATTTGCAGAGAATCAGTTCGATCCAGAGGTGGATAACATTCCTGATCATATGCTTATGTCAGGAAAACAGTTTAAAATCTTGAATCACAAACTGAATTCTTTGTTATAGATTCAGGCTGATACTGGGGGTCGAAATAATGTTTCTGATATTGAGGTTGATTTATTGCTTAAATCCCAAGAGCATCGATTAAAGCAAGCCATGGAACAAATCGAGATGAAGCATGAAGAGTGGTTAAAACATCATGTTGAAAATTTTCAATTGGAGGTTAAGGAACTTCGCGCTGTTGCAAAAGAACATCATCTTCTTTTTGTCGAAGAGGTCAAGAAAGTGCAGGAGTCTGTTAATCTGAAAGTGGAGGCCCTCAAGTCTGAAATGTTGAAGGAGGTGGCCAAGATTGAACAGAATCATTCGACTCTTCATGTCAAAATAGATGTTGTTGCTGATTCTATCAAGAAACTTGTGGAACATTATACTTATATTACTTCCAAGTTTGATGCCAAGATTGATGTTGATTCGAAGGTGTTTGCTAAGATGGAAGAGTTTTTGGGTAGCTTGAAGGCATCACTTTCGAAGATCGATACTTCTTATTCATCTTCTATTTCCCAGGAGTCTCTATCAAATATGTTTTCTTCACTAGAAACAAATCTTAAATCCAAACTTGCTCCTCTTCTCAAACTTGTGAATCTGATGCCAACAGATGCCCCACTTGTCAAACAAGTGGTGCAAGGGGGAGATAAGGGGGTTGGCTCATCGAAGGATCCTGATAAAGGAAAGGTTGTAGGGAAGGTGATAACAATGCAAATTTCAACATCACTTCCTGTCTCTATGTCAACAACTTCAACTACGATGACTTTAAGGCCATTAACCAAAGGCATAGTCATTGGTGCTAATCCTGGGATTCGAGTTCAAAGCCACCACCTTCGAAACAATATAAAGGTGATATAGGAAAGGTAATTGAGAAAGAAATTTTGGAGGAGGAGAAAAAAAGAATGTTGAAAAAGAAATCGAAAGACAGAGGCAAATTAATAGCATCTTGACACAAAGGCAAGGTGATCCACCAGGTCTTGATAAAGGTGATCCAAACAAGCAATATTGTTATGAGACAATCGAACAAATTGTTTCCTCTGGTGAGATGCATGATTCCGATAAGGTTCCGAAAAAGAGCTTTGAGATTGAAAATATTGATTTCAATCGGCTGGATTTTCCCATCAATCACATGATGTTTATCTCAGCTCAATATCAGTTGGTGGATAAGTTTGATGACAAGGAAGAATACAAGATATTGAAGTTCAGATTTCATGTCGTTCATGCAAAGAAGGAAGAGGAAGTCTGGTCCTTGGTGAAAATTCTCAAAGTTCTAAATATTTCTAAGGATACATTGTTCGAAGGCTTGTTACAGAACTTTTGATACTATATGGTCAGAGCAAACAATGTGGCATTCGACTTCACAGTGGCAGATTTTCCTCTTATAAATCTTAATGATCTCATCAATATGGTGAAAATATTGAGTATTGTCGATGTGTCAAAACTGCAAATCAACAATAAAGAATATTTATTGATTGGTTTTGCACATTTCAAACTGTTCATAGACAATTACTATGATTGTCTTGTTTTGACTGATGTCGAACTTGCTTTGGCAATGAATAGAAAAGTGACAGTGCCTTTATCATTGTTGAAAGGACCTGGTAGTCTCAAGAATTTTGAAGATTGAGAGATTGTTCACAAACCACTTGGTGTTGTTTTTTTTTTTGGGAAGAACAAAGACAACAAGGTGACCAAGATTCTTTTCCAAGTTTGTGATGTGTAGAGGTACACGAACTCTCACTATACAAGTCTACTTGTTCGTCTTAACAATTGCAAAAGGAATACAATAGGAGATATGGCTGATATTCAAAAGACGCTCGTCTGGTATATGGAGGTTCGCAGGGTACTTCATCAAGCCACGAAGATGTTAATGACCTAGGTTCGACACTTCTCACAAAGGGGGAGATTGTTGAGTTCAAAATAGGTTGTGAGGTGTCGAAGTACCTTTTAGCGTGTCTAGATTCGAAGTCGGTATTCATGTATTCGAATGTATCTATTACATAAGGCACTGTTTAGATTTCGAAGCCTATGTGTCTAAGTCCTTGTGTATTTTTTGTATGCTTCTGTTAACTCCTATAAATAGGGGGGCATGTATAGGAGTATGAGTAACTTTTGATGAACCTTTGAACACTTTACTCTTTCAACTCGTGTACTCTTTCAGAAGCAATAAAAGAGCCAAACAGATTATATTTACGTTTTGTGTTCTTGATTTAACTTATACTCTGATTTCGTTTTTTACACTCAATTCATACGAACTACAGTTTTGGGCTCAATTTGGATATTTGGGCCTTATTGGGCCTTGTGGTGCCATTTAAGGGATTTGGACTCCTGATGCTAGTGGATTGGACTTTGGATTTTAACACAGAGTGGAAAAGGGTAAGAAAAGGGTAAAATGGACTTTTACCCTGATGGTTTGGACACCGGTCTAGAATTCTTGTTTGGGTGGAGAATCAATTATTGATGGAATGTTATTTGATCTTGTTAGTGCGAGGATTTCGGTAGCAGCAGCTCGAGTGTCCGGTTATCTTGGCTTGAGGTGAGTCTCCTCACTGTAATATGGGCCGAAGGCACCAATGTCGGCCCATTAGCTTATGTATCATTGGAAAATCAAGGGGGTGCCCTTGCCATTTGTATGAAAGACCCAGAGGTGGCTCCTGGCAAATATGTATGCAAGACCAGGGTTCGGACCCTGGCAGATAAGTAGATAGCATTTGTAGATTGTATGCTAGTTGTCTTTGTGATGCTTGCATTGAAGACCCGGAGGTGGCTCCTGGCACTTGTGTGTAAGACCCAGGGTTTTGGCCCTGGCTTGGCAATGAGAGACCATGATATGGCTTGTGGCATAATGGCAAGACTATGGCTGGCACATAGCATTTTCTATTGTATGTATGGTATGCGGGACTTTGGGGAATTCACTAAGCTTCATGCTTACGGTTTATTGTTTATGGTTTCAGGTACTTCCGGTTCTAAAGGGAAGGGCACGGCTTGATCGCAAGGCACACACCCATGTTCTTCCGCAACTTTGTGATTTTGGGATTGTACTCTGATAATGGTTTTATTATAAAATACTTCTAAATATTTGAGTAAAAGATATTTGGTGTTTGATTGTATTAAAAATGAAATTTTTACCTTATGATTCTCGGGACGTTACATAGGACTAGTATACTTGATTCTTCAATTTCACTTAAATCTCGGGTTCACTACATAAAAAATTTCAATAAACCGACAAAAACAAATCTCCAACATTTTTATAACTGGAAAAGAGTTATATAAACTTTAATATAATTTGAAGTCTAATAAATTCAAATTATTTTGATATCCAAAGATTTATTAATTCTCAAAAACCCTAAAAGCCCTAAAAATCTAAATTTTATAAATTTAACATCAAAAGTCTATAAGATATAATCAAGGAAATGAATTTTATTCATTACCACTAACCTTATTTTTATAAGCCAAAAATCCAAGAGTTATGAACAAAATTCTATATAAAATACAAATTTTATAAAAATTTGGAAAAAGTTTATAAAATTTGAAAGAAAAAAAAGAAGAGAGAATCTCCTTCTTCCCTCTCCCAAAATCAGACATACACTCCCCAATACAATCAATTAACTCTTTTGAATCGATTGTCATTATGGATAGTGCTATTAGGAGGTAAACAACTCCTCACTCGCACGGTTCGTGGAGTGCATTTTACCATTTCTATCTATGTGAGCGATACACGAAGATCTCGATTGGGCACCCCTCGGTCGTTAGGTTTGGTTGTGAACTCATGCTTGAACATTTTACACATACGACAAAACATTATTGCTCGTTATGACAACAAACTTATTACTCATTACAACAATAAACTTTATTGCTCATGGTTTGATCATTTTTACAACGAACTACTGTTTATGCAAACCTTGTTTACTCATTTTTACAACGAACATGTTTCTCATTAAAGAAGCAAACTTGTTTACTCACTATAGCAACGAACTTTTATTATTGAGAACTTTATTACTCATTTTAGCAACAAACTTTGTTGTTCATATTAGCAATGTACTTTTGTTATGGAAACATTTATCAATATTTTGAACTTCCATGATTTTAAAATGATGTTATATTATAAACCTGTGAACTCACCAACTATTTTGGTAGTTGACCGCTCATTTTACATGCTTTTTCAGGAATCATCTAGTAAGTGGCACATAGAGACACATCACGTGTAGAAGCATTCGCATGTGTGATTTTTTTTATACGTTGTAATTTCTTTTAAAGGTTGTTCAAACTCATCGTAAATTATAATGTTTTTAATACTATGTTTGGTGTTGCCTTTTGACTTTTGCTATAAGACCATTTGTGTTGTCGCGTCTCGTGTTTCTGCTTTAGCAGGGTGTGACACACTAGGCTCCTAATATGGGGGTATATATATATATATATATATATATATATATAGAGAGAGAGAGAGAGAGAGAGAGAGATAGAGATAAAGGTTCATGTATTCTAACTAAGTATTGTGTGGATGTAAGAATAAATATAGGCCAATCATTCTAAAAGGGTATTTATGTAATGTTACATTTAATTAATATTTTAAAATTAATTAATTTGATATTTATCCCAAATTAAATCCCTTTATATTAGGTAGTTATTTATGAAAATAATGTAATTGACTTTTTCTAACCCTAAATTTTCCCCCTTTATCTATCAGATGAATACTGTGTACTCGTGAAATTGAAGTCTAGACCTGGGCTCGTGAAATTGAAGCTGAGAATCGGGAAGTCTAAAAGGAACAAGATGAGTAGATGATGCGTGTGGGAGAAGCAGTGCCGGAAATCAACCCTCCGGTCTTCTCTTTCCCCGCCTCCGCAGTGTCTGAGAAAGAGTATCGGAAATCAACCCTTATTATCGTTGCCGCCATCCAGAAAATCGTCGCCGTCCTCAAGGTCACCTCCAATTTCGGATGTGTTGTTACCCTCACTCAACAAGATGACGGTATGTATCACTTGAATGAATTTTCTGGCGCCCCTCTTTTCTCTGGTGGCTTTCTGGAGTCCGCCTGCTTTCTTCCAGTTTCATTAACAACAGTACCAAGCCCTTATTTTGTCCCCCTCTCTTGAATCAAAGTGCAAATAAATACCACCATAATATTAGCAAGACAACCACATCAGTAGTCCTATTCAGCGCCGACCTATCAGAGGCGAGTTGTTCTTAATTTTTTGTTCAACATTTGACATTTGGGTTTCTTAATGTTTTCTCCTTAAGCACGTTCTGTTTAATGGTACACTCGAGGTGTGGGTAAAAGCGATTTCACAATAATCTTGTTCAATCAGGGTAAATGGCACAGAATTACAACTACGCTTTCTGATACCAGGTTATTCCAATTTAACTCTTTCTTGACTTTAGTTTCATGGTTAGAGTTTAGATGGTGTGTTATTTTGGAGGGATTGTTGTGCTTTAGCATGGTAGAGTTCTTGTTATTGTTCCCAATGGCTGTAGGAGGAGGCTGATTTGATGAGCTATTTGGACCTTTTTACCCTTGGAGGGTCTAATGTTTCTTGTGGTTTAGATATTTAGTTTCCACTTTTTTTCTTGTAGCTAGATTGTTAACACCGAAAGAGAAACTAAATAGGAATATAGGAATATATGATACTTACTTATCCTTCATTTTTAATACCCTTATTGTGTTTGTATTTGTAGGAGCTTAATATTCAAAGACCACCAATTCCTACAAGGATTTCCCCAACCTAATCATGTGAGGAACTCCATTGCATATTTTTGACTCTTTCTTGACATGATTAGGTCGGGTTCCCTCAAGCACAAGAGATTTCCTTTGTATTTACTATTTATGCATTTTTTATTTGGATATTTTTCCAACAGAATGCATACGGTAATTGAATCTTGAATTCCAATTCTATCGGAATGGAATCATTAATTCTAATTTTGTTGGAATGGAATATGGATATTTTCTCCCTGATTTATGCATGTTCTACACTTCTTAGTTATTGGTTTTTGTGCAATTCATAAGTCCGTATATTTTTTCAAAGGAATTTAGTTTTTTATTTTTCATTTGCTAATGCATTATTGGATTTTAAACTACAATTGGATTTGTTTTCATAGAAGTTGATGCTTGAAGAACGGACCACAAAATTGAAAGTGATTCTTAGCAACATTATTCTTTTAGATTGTATTAGTGTCTTTGTTAGATTTGGATGTTTTTTTTTTCCAATTTGAAAGTTTTTTTAGTTTTATTGTTTAACAATAAATGTAATTCTTAGCAATTGTTACCCGTATTCTATAAGAATTAATGTAATTTTTGTTTTTATTCTTCAATTGATTGTTCAAGAATTTGTTATTCTACAAGAAGTTTTTAAAAATCATGATCAAGAAATAGGTTTAAGAATATTTTTATTCTTTTATAGTTCAAGAATATTTTTATTTTTGAATATACTCATAAACATATTCTGTCAGAATGTACTAATTAAAAGAATTATAATTCGTAAAATCGGATTTTTAAAATTAATAGAATCTATGATCCCTTAAAATATGCAATTTCCTTTATTAAATCTATATTAATTGACCAAAATACAGTTGTAATTAAATTAGATGTATTTTTCAATTATATTCAATTCAATAATATGTATTAATCAATTTCTTAAAATAAGTAAAATGATTGGCCCACAATCATTCCTACATCCACACAATAATTAGTTAGAATATAATAACTTAAGTCTATATATATATATATATATATATATATATATATATATATGTGTCTAATATTTAAGTTTTAAAAGTATAATGTTATTTGTGGTTTAAATGATGCACCACTAAAGCATTATGGTACAAGTCCATCCATAATGTAAATTTTGAACGTCATAGATAGTTGAACATGTACCTTAACAAAAATAAAGATAATGAAAAAAGAATCAAGTCTCTCTGGCATCGGATGAGAAAGTTATGCTCAAAACAAGTAAAATTATACTTTATGCTCGATCCACCATACGGTGCTTATAACTTTTACATCACTTTGTAGGGATCATTTGATCTACAAGATGTAACCTTTATCGGTATCCACACACAGTAAACAAAATAGCTTTCAGGCTTCCAATCAGCAATAAGCAATAAGCAAAACACAATTGTGTTTATTCTTTCATGCGGTTGACGATCTCACATAGAGTTAGAGAGGGGTTATTGTTGGTATGGAAGAAAGTAAACCACTTTAGGGTTTTTAGAATAAATTGGTACCATCGACCTACAACTATGGGTGTGCATTAGGATTGTGTTTTCTCATTAATTTGGAACCATAACCGGTCTATGTTTGGTTTCAGTTCTAGTCCTTAAAGTTTGGAATCGACTCAGACAAGTTTTGGTTCTTATGTTTTTGGAATTGTTACTCGTCGGGTACATGTTGTTTTTCAATAATAGTTTTAAATATTAATAAAATAAAATAAACTCAATATAACTAATATTTGTAATAGGATACAACGGTTGATAACTTGATCTCAACTCAAAGTATTATGCATAATTATTATTTTAATAATAATTAGAGCACATGTATCCATAATCTATAGAATTCAATCATTTATTTTTGTTCTACAAAGAAGTTGTTTCGTTATTTCAAACATTTATATGAGATACATTCATCATCAAAATATGTAAACTAGACGTAGGTCTCTGTAATGCAAAGTTTGACTTTTATATGAGGATGAGCAAGATGCTACTGTCGGACATGGGAAATTCAAGAAAAGGCATAATACATTTTGTCGTTGGACATGGCAAATTCGAGAAATAGGCATAAACATTTTGTCTCAATTGGTAAGCTCGTTCCACTTTGAAGTGGTACTATTTATAGATTTTCAAATAGGTTTTAAAATAATTTGGCGATTATGAAATTAGAAAAAAACAATATTTTCAAATTTTGGAGAATATTGATTTTAGAATAAAAAAAGTAAAAAACAACCATTAAGTTGGGGATTTGATCAACGAGTGGATTTGTTTATAAAAATATATATTTCACATAGCTACAAAATATAAAAAGGGAGCTTTCCTTCTCTTATAAAGAAAATGGCAAATGCTTGGTAATGTTAAAAGGAAAAGTGTGGTGTCTTGAGTTGTAAATATCTCGAGGTCCCCTTTTGTCTCTTTTATCACTGAGGAGGGGCCCTTTTAGTTTTCTTAAATATTCTAAAAACTTTTGATATAAAAAGAGGTTGTGGAATTATTTACTTAATGAATCTGTCCCTGTTATGATATAGAGATCGAGAGGAATGAGACATACATATCAAACATGAATTTGTTAAAGTAAATCCCTTGAATATCAATAATTAAGCTACTAATGATAGATGCATTAATTGCATAACATCTTTTTAGAAGTTGAAAATTTGTTCAATTATAAATAAATACAAAAATCAAATTGGAATATGTGAATATAATATTGTAGCTAAAAGTATATGCTGTCATGTACAACTAGAAAAGGACGCGCGGCTCCGCCGCTTTTGGACTATGTCATAGAAGTTAAATATCAGCAAACTTTAAAATATGTATTGAAAGTGTAAATCGCCACAAAAAAGGGAGAAAACCGACACCCCCTAAAATTAGATTTCAAAAGTGTACAACAAAAATAAAGAACATTGATGGAGAAAAACCAAAAATGTTGTGGCTATAATGTAAAAGTTGCCAAAGTTGGAAAAATATGGTGGCAAAAGTCTAAAGGAGGTTTTTTGTGTTTTTTATGTGAAAATGTAAAAGTTTTGACTGCAAGGTTGAAAAGTATTAAAGTCACTAAAAATTTATGGCAAAAACATCAAAATATAAAAGATTTGACTGCAAGGACGAAAAATGTCAAAGTCACTAAAGATTTATGGCAAAAATCTGAAGGCACAAAAACTTAATCAAAACTTAAAAATGTAAAAGTTTTCACGTTGAGGACTAAAAATGTCAAATTTATCAAACATTTGTGACAAAAACCTAAAACAAAAAATATTACTATTCATAAGGTCCCTTGGATTTAATATATATATATATATATATATATATATATATATATATATATATATATATATATATATATATATATATAATGTATAAATATATAAGTGTCTTAAATTTAAGTTTAATCCTTCAATTTTATATAATCTGTCACTTTTAATATTATACGTACGAATGATATTTTTAATTCTTTACTATTTTAAAATATTATTTTCATCCATCCACCTTTAACTTTGTAAAAATCCATTTATTTTCTAAACATTTGATTTTATCCTTCGTCCCCGTAAAATTCAAAATTCACTGTAGCTAATAGTATATGTGGTAACCCTTCTATTTCGTAAAGTGATAATTTTTATCCTTTTACTTTCTAAAATATCACTTTTACCCCTTCACATCAAACTTTGTAAAATGTCACATTCACCCCTTAATTTTCTAAACTTTTGTGTTTATCCCCGTCTGCAAAATTCATTATAGCTAATAGTACAAATGGTAATGCACAATGTACAAACATGTCAATGCCTAAAGTGCAATTTTAATCACTTAATTTTGTATAATCTGTCACTTTCAACCCCTCTATTTTGTAAAATGATAGTTTTTTTATCTCTTCACTTTTTAAAATATCACTTTCACCCTCACCTTTAATTTTGTAAAATATCATTTTTCACCTCTTCGTTTTCTAAACTTCCGTGTTTATCTTGTAATATATATAAATACAATTTTTCCTCATCTGCTTTGTAAAATGTATTTTTCACCCCTCTTTTTTATTAAATGTTACTTTTGTTGGATCAGGTGTCTAAGCCAATAATTAAATTAGTATAATCTTGAATTATTAGCAAAATTCTTTTTGGGTTGCCCTCATAACCAGAAATAGCTAGAAATGATATTAGGAGAAAGAGAGATAAATAATCTGTTAATAGTAATTGGAAATAAATAATTGATATGTTAATTTATTATGTAATTAATAAATTAACATAAGATCAATTGTTATATAATTGATTAGTTAATTTATATGATTAATAAATTAGAATTAATTAATTATTAATCAGAATTAATCCAGAATTAATTTGGGATTAACTGGAATTAATTAAAGGTGCAAAGAGTGAGTTGTAATTGTTCAATAGTTGAACAAAAAAAGCAATTTTAGAATCATCCAAGGGGTAGACGGTTTTGGAAGCCTCCTTAGGGTTTCCAGAAGCCTCATGGATGCAGATAAGGAAAGGATTTGAAAAGAGATTAAATCTATTATTTAGTTATTAAAAAAAATTTGTCCCTACGTTACCTAAACTATAAATAGGACCCCTTATAGCCTCAATTTCGTTCATGCTCTTCCCATAAGGCTTAGGAACGAAAATTATACCTCTCTTCTCTCTCTCTCTCCTCTTCATTCCAGGGTGTCTAGGTTTTGGGTGTGAGCCATTAGATGCACGAGATTTCTGGTGCTTGCTTCAAGGTTTTCAAGAAGGAGATTGAAGTGATTTGTTTACTACAACAAATCAAAGGTATGTAACCCTAATTATTCTAATTGATTATACTAGGGATTCATTAGGGTTCAAGTTAATTTTTGTTGTTCATAGCATGTTACATTCAAATTGTTAAAGACATAGATCCTTTAGGTTGCATGTGCCCTTAAATGTTAAGTGAAATTCCGTAAGCACATAGTTATTGTAATCTATAAAACTCATCGGTGGTATCAGAGCCTAGGTGTGTCTTACATTGTTTGTACATAGGATGAACTTGAACAAAACATTTTTTTCTGTCAGACTGATCTCACGACGTGAGATTTAATGCTCACGACGTGAGCATAGTAAAATTAAGAATTTTATTTTCTGTCAGACTGATCTCACGACATCATATTTGATGCTCACGACATGAGCACAATAAATTCAGAATTTTCGGATTTCCTTGCCTAATTTGATTTATATGGTTGTTATTTAGTAGTTATCTCTTATAATATCTGTCAAATCCAAAATTTTCTTATATTAGATAATTAATTAAAACCCTAAATGTTAGGAGATAATCTTAGACTGGATAATGATTGATTATAAGATTAATTAATATTATCCTTATGGATCTTATTATTAATTTAATTAAATGATTAATTAAAAGATAATTTATAAATCCATAAATTGGTTTAAATTTAATTAAATTAAAAAGTTTAATTTATAAAAGATTAAACCTTGTATTTTTAAAATGTTTTAAAATACACCTTATAGTATATATAATTAAAAGTTTAATATATTATATGTATAAGACAAGTCAATTAAATCGCTAGTACACCTCATTCACAAAGTCATACTATA